CTTCTGTGAGTTTCTGTGATAGGGTACTACTGGAGCAAGGAGAAAGCTTGGATAAGGAAGGGCTTAACACATTTCTTGGCTTGAAGAGGGTAGGGGACAAAACTCCTGGATGGTTTGATTTCCAGGACACTGGACACAAGGGTCCTAGGGCAGGAGTTAGCAGGGCTCATTCACAGAGCTTTAAACTAGATTAGAAATGGGATGGGGTTGTAGCTGGGTTTGAGCTAGTGGGGCATTGTTCTAGTATTAATGAAGACCAGAAGGCGTCCTGTTTCCCCAGGTGCCACCAGCGTGCTCAGCTCACTCCCTGAAATGCCTGCACACCAATGCATGCAGCATGGGGAGTAAACAGGAGTTAGAAGGCTGAGGGATATAGGTCTCTTTAGCTTGGAGGAGACTGAGGGGTGACCTCATCAATATTTACAAATATGTTAAGAGTGAGTGTCAGAAGGACAGAACCAGGCTTTTTTCAGTGATGTCCAGTGATAGGACAAGGGGTAATGGATGCAAACTGGAACACAGGAGGTTCCACGTGAACATCAGAAAAAGCTTCTTTACTGTGAGAGTGACAGAGCCCTGGAATAGCCTGCCCAGAGAGGTTGTGGAGTCTACTTTGCTGGAGACATTCAAAACCCACCTGGACACGTTCTTGTGTGATGTGCTCCGGGTGATCCTACTCTGGCAGGGCGTTGGACTAGGTATCTTTTGAGGTCCCTTCCAACCCCTAAGATTCTGTGTTTTCTCAGCAGTAAGCAAGAGTTGCATGTCTTTTGTCTGCACCAAAAGTTGCTGAGTTTTAAAATGAAAGTGTCAGAAGAGAATTGTTATTTGAAACTAGGAAAGGCACAGAAATCTTCTTGCCATCAATTGACGAGTCTGGCAACTTAACGCTATGCCGTAGTATTTTACAATATCTACTTCAGCAATTCAAAACACGGTATGAAAAGGAAGTTCCTGCTTCACTAGTTGAACAATGTGGTTAGCAGGCTTCCGGAAAGGTCCGTGTTTCTCAGTCATCAAAAGTTGGGTAAACAAGCTCAGATTTGTCATGTGTCTTACTTGATAAAACTGAAAAAAGTGCTCAAAATTTTAAGCTTTTAGTCTCAGGATCTTGCATATTCTCTTAAAAATAATGTGAAAATATTACCTGTTAATCATTAGTAGCAATTTTTATCATGGGATTATTTGCCAGTTTGTTATCCTATGATACTATTGTTCTGATTTCCTTCTATTCTTCCCAGGTGTTTCTTTTTAATATTTTGACTATACCTAATCTGAAATGAAAATATGTTGTGAAGTAAGTTGTTTCTTCAGAGGTGGAAAATATAAGCATTAATGGAAATACTTAGCAGGTCATCAGTTGATGTTTGCTACTGAAAAATACTTTAAAAAAAAATATTCTCAATACTTTCTTGTGACTTGCACTGTTAATTGGAAATATACAAACATGGATGTAAGGTAGAACAACGTATCAAGACAAAGTACTTCCTGAAAAACCCTTTCTAAATAGGGTTTGTGAGCACAGATGACCATGGGGTTAGAGCAGTGAAGTGGTCTTCCAGTACAAATTTGCTGTCTTTCTGTGGTACCACAAGCTTAAACATTACCATAATTTGTTCCTTGGGATATTTCCTCTCACTGTTTTGTTGAGTTCTTTTTAAGGTGAGAAACTTAAAGACTTGGTTTAGTTACTAACAAGTAACACTCAACAGGACAAATAGTTTCCCAGACACAGGTGCTGATGTAATACTAAGCTATCTGGACTTAGCCTAGCCTGAGGGTCTTATGTCTCTTGTTTTGATCATAGAACTTTTCTAGTCTTGTTAGTATTCATGACTTCTTCTGTAATTTTGCACAAGACAGGACCTACTCTTCTATCCAGATTTGCTCCTAACTTTATTGTCTACGTAACTGGAAGCTACGTGGTTTTGTGTGTCTGGGTGTAATAAACTGCAGGTACAATAAGCAATACAAGTATTAATTGAGGTGCAAATATTGAAAAAAAATTAAGGCTTGTACCTGACACAAGTGAGAACTTGTATGTATTTTTTGTTTGTGTTACTCTGATCTGACATCTATGTAAGTCTGAATTTATTAGCATTGTTAGAGCTGATTTTGGGTTACAGTGAGTAAGAACAGAATTTGAACACTGCATGAGGAAGAAATGAAAAAGAAATGAATGCTAAAGTTCTTGTTAGCTTAGCAACGGTAATCTTTTACAGCATTCCTTGGTAAAGCTTTCTTCCTGCCTTATAAAATGAAGAACACATTTAAATTTAGTTTATTGAAAATCTCAATTTTGCATAATTTTATTCAACATCTGCATTCTTAAAACATTTAAATCTGAATAAAAAGTCCATTAAGAAAAAAATTAGGTTTTTATTCTCCTTGGTAAATTTTTATACAATCAAAAGCAATCTAGTCTTCAAAATCCAAATGAAACTATTTAGCTGCAAGTTTAAATGCCAAATCCTTCACTTATGATAAAACATATTCCAGCTGCCACAGTCAAAGCACAGTTACCTTTACAGTTATTCCCCAATTCATTTTCTGTGATGAACCTTGAACAGGGATAAAATATAGCCAGAGCTCTTAGTTGCAAAGCAGTAATTTCTTCTAGATGAATTCTTGTTATTTTCCTTCTACCAGAGACTGCTATTTGTAACTGGAGAGACTGCTGCAGTTCAGTCTTGTGTCTTTGATCAGAGAAGCCTGCACTCATGAGCAGCTTCAGCTGATACACCATCCTGTTTTGCCACTGCATGTATAACCACTGTCAGAGAGGCACAGCAGAGAGGCTGGAGAACCTAATCCCTTGAGATGCCCTGGGAAAATTTGGCAGAGCTCATCTGTTGGAGGTCTAAGCTGAAATCTAGAATCTAGTAGCTTTGATGTAAGAGGTAGATGTCTTAGTCAGAGTTTCACAGAGCTGATTTAATATTTTGCAGAGGGTTTGTAGCATCACAGTGATGGTGATGCAAGTGAAGATTGATCTCCTCTTCTAGCAAAAGGGGCAGAGCCCTAAGAATCTTATTTGTCTGTCCTGAAGGGACCCAATCAAAACCTTGAAAGTTGACTTCAGTGAGCTTTGCTGATAACCTGATGTAGATACATGGTATATTGGTACTGGGAGATGTACAGGGAAATAGCTGAAAAATATTATTTGCCACTCTAGCAGAATGAATTAACTTTTCCTAGACTTTGATCACAGAAATAAGCCGCCTTCTTCCAGGTAGTTTATAACAGAAAGCATATTGTGCAAAAAGAAGATACACAGAACCCTAAAGGGAAACAATCTTATTTTGCAGAAAGAAGTAGCAGCTCAAAAGCCTTTGGGGCTCTCTATAACAAGTTCTGTAAGGAATAATACTTTTTATTATAAAAACTATTTAGAAATATTATTGCTAGGTCCCACTGTCTGAAGTTGAAGCTGAAGTGCTGTTTTTAAGTACTGTAGCCCTTGATAGCATCTGCTTAATTAGAACAGTGTTTCTTCATGCATCTATTGACCCTGTTTTATCTCCATAAAATAACTTTTAATCACAAAGTCTCAAAGTTGCAATTCTGCTGTTCATATCCAGATGACCCAACACCAGGCAGAACATCAATATATATACTTTTAAAACAACTTGTAAAAAAAAGTGTTTAAGAAAGTATTTTTGAAAAACACTTCTGTGATTAAATGTAGCTTAACACATTTAGAGAGGAAATTTCAGTGACTTGGCACATTGTAAAATAGACTAGCACACCAGGGGTTTTGACAAGAATTCTCCATATCCTTACTGCACTGTTAAAAGCTACTTCATCTACAAATTACGTATTACTGGTTTGAGGACAGGTTTGCCTTAGTTAAGTGATTATTACAGATTCAGTTGATCCTAAAATCTGAAACCTGTACTTATTGCTCATGTAATTTATGCCTTACTCTCATAAATAGCTAGACATGGAAACACTGCTCGTGTACTTCGTACATTTGCACAACTGAAAGACCTGTGAGCATGAGCAAAAAGGGTAAGTTTAGGTGAATAGCTTTGGTTTTTCATGCCTATGTAAGTCACCCTACTAACTGCTACATTAGTCAAAGATGTAGGCAAAAACTAATAAAAATTTGGCAAATACAAGGGATTTTGAGACAACAAAAATTAACATTAAGGTATTGTTTTCACAAACTATGATACCTCCCACCCTTTATTAAAGGGAAAGAATGAGAAATTACTTCTTGAAAAATATGTATTACATGAGGTAACAGTAACTAAGAATTCACAAACCATGTTTCAAGGTATGTGTGCATTTGTTTGTATACCATAGTCACTTTATCTTGAATCTCATGTAACAGCCAAAAAGCATAACAGGGTTGTACAACTACAGGACAAACATTTATGAACAGAAATTGCACCTAATTTCTCAAATTCTTTTCAACACTGACTCAATTTCACATTGACGGTGCTTTTTTAAAGTGCTGATGTTAGTCATCTGTATATAAAAAGTTATCTTTTTTTCACAATGTAAGCCCAGTGTTTCTCCATGGTACTGTACAACAAAAGCTGAAGTTTTTTTGGAAACACGTAACTTTGAAAATAAATGACAGTAACTACAGATTACGCCCATGGGCCCCAACCCTGTAAACACTTAGGCACATATGTAAATTCACTCAATTTTTAACAGCAAATAAACTAATGTCTAAGCTACCATTTAAATTTTTATGTGAACATGAAAAAATGACAGTAAATACTTTGCATATGCACCAAGCATCCTGTGCACTGTGCATAAGTTAGTCATTAAAAGCATTAACAAATGCTACAAGTACAAAAAATGTTTTTAGTAGCATCTGCAAAAACTGGAAGAGCCTAGGGCAAAGCATTCTGTGGATGTTAAGAAAAAAAACAAAACACAAAACAAGAAACCACCACCACAAAAACAACCAAAAAGCCCAACACAAACTGAAAACCTGGTGTCTACTGCCTCTTCAAAAGAATCTGAAAGGTCATGGTTTTCTTTTTTTTTCTTCACTGTAGCAGTTTATTGCTCCCCCTCTTGCCCCTTACCTGTTTTATGTTCATACTGAATATTAAGTTCTACTTTTCCTCTTATCTTCAAAGAGACTTTTCAGCATGTAAACCTGAACAGCTGATACCACCACCATTACTCCCAAGTTGACCATGGACCAGAAATTCACTCTGTCGAAGTTACTTTCTTGTATATTGCGGTCACGAGCCTCAAATGCTCTGAGCAGGGTCTGAATCTGGACACTTTTGCTTAATCTGGCTTTGACACTGTTGATGGATTCCTAGTAAGTAACAAAAGAGTATTTTTGGAAGAAAAACGAGCACTTAAATTTATAGCTTGCAACACATACAAAATATTAATACTCTATTACCAGCTGTAATATAATTTCTTGCCAAGTAGACAGTTAATTTCACTTAAAAATATATACCTTGTCACACTTTTTGTTAATTTGTCTAGCCTGTTTATTTGTATAGAATTTGAAAAGTCTTAATATATACTTAATATTCTGTAGTAATTTGTTCCTTTTTACAGGTTAGGTAGGTGAGAGAAATAAATACAAATACTTTTTTTTATAATCTGTGTATCTTGGGGAGCTGTGATTCCTGGTATTCAGACAAGTAAAAAGCAGTGACCTCTACAGAACTAGTCTCAAAACAATTTATGAAGTAGCCGACAAATGTGTGTGTGGGGGTTGCTGGGTAATCAAATTAAGGTACTTTTTAATGCAAGCTACCATCAAAACTATAGCTGTAGCAAAATAAAAGATAGTACAGTAGTGTTATATTCCTAATCTTTTTTTCTGCTTTCACTGCAGTAGCTATGAACTGCTGCTTCAGCTTTGATGCTAAAGCAGAATTTTGACAGTAAATTGCAAATAGGACAACTGGAGGTCCCACAAAAACACAAACTGCATCTCAGGGAACCAGAGGAATTATGTGGAACACTGTGGCAATAACAGTAGCTCAAGATCCAGTTTTTAATCTGTGTTTACAAATTATATATCTGGCCCTATAATCTATTAAGTTTGATCTGCAATGTAATAGATAGTCACAACCTAAAAGGTGATCTCATGAAGTGCTGATTTATGTTCTTGATATAATTATGGGACCCTGAAGTAGTTTTTAGTGAGAGGAGTGACGTGTGCATTAAAAAAAACCTCACAACCCAGCAGTAACATTTTCTCTATGGACATTTTCTGTTGCATATTTAGCAAATATTTCAAAAGAGCTATTTTTAGAAACCAAATAATTTTATGATTATACTGAAGTTCATATATTGCACAATGAGGAACAGCAACACCCTAAGAGAGCTTTGAAAGTAAGACAATTCCCCATTTCCCTCAGCAAATATGTTAACTTTAAACTACTGGGTATTTAAGTGCTTACAGAACTTGCAGATAAAGTACTAACTTGACAAAGTAAACAATGGCATCAAATATTACTGTTAACTTTAGAAAAAATGTCTTACTTTAGAAGATCTGTAAGGCCCTCAAAAAAAGCCAAGTTGTGCAATTTTCCCTTTTGGAAGAGGTATCAGTGTATCTTGTATGTACACAAGCAGCTACAAAATCCATTTAAATGTTGCTTGTGATTTGTGTGAGAGGGATTTTCTTCTCAATTTCCCCTTTAAATGTAGATTCTCTTGCTGTCAATCTGGCCAGCATTTCAGATTCTGTGTTTGGATTTAACTATTTAAAAGTGTACTGTACACAATAAAAGACCTTAAACATTAAGTTTGTTTTGATGTTTAAAAATCTGGATTTTGTTTATTGCAATCAATTACTTGCTTGTGTTCTTTTCTCTACACCAGTGTATTCAGTGTTTGTGGATGTTGGTTTAAGACACCTGTTGTCTGCAGCTAGAAGCAAACAAACAATGGCTTACTGCATCCTACCAAGCACTAAGAACAGTGGTACAAGACCACCAAATGATCCTCTGCTTCTAGAGTAATCTCAACCTTTAATGATCATGAAAGGACATAAAAACTCTGATGTGGCTTCATCCCACAGCAAACATGGTCAGTATACAATTAAAGCAAACATTACCATTCATAGAATGTCTGCAAAGGTCAACCTGCAATATAGTACAGATCAACTCTTGTCCTATTTATTAATTTAAAAGCATAGAAATAAAATTTTTGGGAAGAAAACCCTAATGAAGTTAATATATAAATTATTGAAGATAAACTGTTTGGGGCACACTTCAGCAAAGATGAAAAGGGCTGACCCAGTTCTTTATTTTCAAACATTGATAGAAATGAGTGCAGTGATTCCAACTATGTAATTTGGATTAAGCAATACTCATACTATAAAGATTATGAGATTAATATAAATATCCATTTCATTGCTGCTAGAGAAAAATGTCCCATTTTAGGAGTAGGAAGAAAGGAAGCTGAATTGGAAACAGAGTGACCTTGGGTGCTAGGCAGCTTCCTCCTGATTAAACATCTATTCTGAAAATATTCTCAAGCTTCTGGGTGGAAGCAAGAGATCCATGGTGCTAGGCTTCATGTATCAGTAAAAGCAATATATGGAACTGGACTAATTTTCAGGGTGATGCCTCAGACTAAGGCAGAACACCTAAATAACACAGCTTTTCTGCATTTCTTTAATTCAAAGAATTAGAAATCAAATACTAACCAGGATGTCTTCCAATTTCATATCTAGGAGATCTGTGCCTGTAACGTACTTCTTCCAGTCTTCCTGATCTTCTCCTTCTTCTCCCATGTTGTCCAGGATCAGTTCAAAGAAAATCACCTTTTCAGAAATGGTACTGAATGTGTTGTCAAAGCAGAACATATAATCCCCTTCTTCTGTTTCCACCCTGTGTATATAAGAAAAATGTCATTAAATTAACTACAAAAAATACTCAACCTTCAGTTATATTTGTTAAAGAAACAAAAAAATACGTAACAATTATAAGTTTGTAGATTTTAAACTTACGTATGAACTCCATCTGATTTTCTTTCATCAAAAACTAGCGTTTCACCTTTTGGAGACAGCAGATGGAAATCAACATCTAATCCTGCTCCATCTAGAACCTGTGAAACAAAGAAAAAATGCTCCAATCAGTGGAATTCCTGTTTGTCATTGCTGAGGGAAATATTTAGGTAAGAGAACTGACATAGAAAGAACATGAAAGCTGAATCTGTCTGTATGAATTCACACCAAGTTAACTGGAAACACTAAAAACTGGTTCAATCTAAAAGCATTTTAGCAACTTCAGATCTTAAAATAAGTATGATCTAATCCTGCTGGGCTTATATTGAACCTTTCCCTAACTCTTAAGAATGTGTGCAATTTTATCAATGGGCAGGGCTACAAGACTACAAGACCTACAAGACTACTGATGGTTGGCTAAATCTAGCAATTCTATGGCAGACACCATTGATGCGTAATTGCCAGCACTTGTTCAGGCAATTTTATAAAATTTTATGAAAAGGTCTGTCACTTATGTAGATATATGTGTAGAAGAACACAATCTATGCAGTGTCATTCCTAAAATCTCTCTGCTGGGTGAATTAGCAGCGCAGAAGACATGACTAGGCTTCTTAGCCTTCTCACTTTTTACTGTAGACTTGAGGTCTGAATTCCTCCAGGGCATTCTCATTTGTCAAATACAGAACAAATTGAAGACATTTAGGTTCCTGAACTCGTAAAAAGTGCATACAGTATTACAAAGCTTTGCTGCTTTAACAAGTTGCATCACCACAGGTGTTATAGAAATTCTCTACAGGGAAGGCAGTAACTGCATAAGGGGGCAGAGAGGGATCATTTTTATGACCATTACTTAGGTCTACACTAGGGGATTTTTTTTGTTTGCTTGTTTTCCAGTGGGCTTTTTGAGTATAGAAGTCTAAAGTTTACACTGTCTTAAAGTGATGCTGGAGACTTACCAAAACCAGAGAGAATAAGGACAATTAGTAGCTAACTGCTGATCAGATTAAAAACCACAGTGACATACCTTTAGGGCTGATACAATCTAAACACCTGAAACAAAACTTCATGACAGCATAGAGTTTGTTACATTATGTCTTTGAAGATGACCTGCATTCCTACATTAAATATTCCTATGCTTTAATCACTAACAATTCAGGCTAATTAAATACAAAATACATCTATTTCCAATAACATACAGAGCTCCTTTTCTACACATTCAGATAGATAGATGAATTGTTACTGTTAGCAGTAGTGCTGGGAAATTTCTGCCTGAGTAGAAATAAATTCACTTTTATACACATTTGTTCCTCTAAAACAATTTTTAATTTTTTATTATGTTTAAACTAAAATCCAAACCTTGAACACCTCAATTTTTCATTCTTGTTCAATTCTGCATGTAATAGTAATTAGGAAATAATAAAGAATTTCAGCTTTTTATTTTTATTTGAGAAGCAGGCAGGGTTAGAAGGGGTGGAGAGAGAGACAGATCCGAGCCAATTCTGAGGCACAGTAAAGAGCAGGATGGGAAAATACTGCAGCTTCCCTCACTGAAAAAAAAGGTCTTTATTTTAAAGAAAAAAAAAAAAGCCTGGCATCTTTCCCAGAGACATGTGGGGAACTCAGCTCTTCCCGAGAAGGGCATCAAGACCTTAGTCTAGTTAAATACGACTTCTTAAAAAAAATACTTTTATCACTGCGTTAAGAGATGTTTAATATCAACATAAATAAGGGTTTTGCTCATCAGCAACAATTTTGTTTGTGCTTCAGAGCTATTGCACAAGGTCACAGCCATGAACATCGACCATCCTGCCGTTTTGGAGGACGGCAAATTGACATCTGGTAGCAGAATTTCTACTGGAATTATGTTTAAAAGGCTCTACAATTATATTTTTTTTCCTCCTATAGATACAGCTTTTAATCCTGTGAAGTTCTACCGCGGGCGCTACCCGAGGCCCGGAGCCCCGCACCGCCCCCCGCGCTGCCCCCCG